TGCTGAGGAACATTTAGGCATGCAGGGAGACCAGGAGTCGAACCACCAACTTGCTGGTCAGGAGATGACTGCCGTACCTCGTGAGCCACAGCCACCCCAGTACATACAGTTTCGCCTTCCAACCACATTCACAGTTAACATTTATTGGCTTATTGTTCTAAGGGACACACAAAGCCAGTGGCTGGGAACATCTGTCGAGACTTATCCTCCCAGTGTGTCCCACACCGTTGGCAGTAGTCAGTGGCTTTTCAACCGATTCGACATGTTGAATCAGGGTCAGCCAGTTGGACCTCATCAGTGAGACAGAGACTGTGAAGAAAGTGGTTCAGTAAAGCCCCCTCAGCCCGCCACTGTAGTATCCATGATTTCATCCATTTAGTACAGTTTCTCGTTTTTTGCCTCCACAACCCCCTTTCTTCTTCCACAATCAAAAGACCAAGGGCAGACAACGACAGTGTCATTTGTAACTTCTTATCAGACATATTCTCGATTAGAAGCAGCTATAAACAGCAGCAGTTTTGAACGAGAGGTGCTTTGTTTATAGCTTATACTTCTGCAGTCCAGCTCTTCTTCTTTCACTTACTGAATGGCGAATACAGATACCACCACCTCCTGGTAGGGGGTGTTATTTCTGTCATGCAAGCGCAAAACCTACATTCTCGTTGGCCATTGGCTGTAGTCTGTGCTCTGTGTTCAAGTAACATGTTTTTAATCCAACTGGTCCAGACAAAGCCGACATGAGGCGACCCAGAGGTTGCTGCTAGTTCTTTCATGTCAGCTTGGTGTGTCTCTGCCCTGAGAGTTCAACTTGCAGGATAATAAAGATTAAAACTAGGTTTATCTCCTCAGTGTGCTGCACAGGCCACATGAGTCTTTATTTCATTTTTCTTCTCTATAGCTTTGGATCTTTTATTAATTATTGATAATGTTTGCTCAGTAAGTTGAAACTGTCTCAAGGTCTTTAGGGATTTCCAGTGGGCTTTCATGATGCTGTCAATGATTAAACCCACGAGCTGGCATTTGGTGACTCACTGTGATTTCCTGTCAGCTATAGAGCTGTGAGAGATAAACATCTGGATACAAAAGAAATGCAGCTGGGAACTGATTACAGTGCTGCTGCAAGATGAACACCTAACTCCAATTCATGCCTCATTTTTACTGAAAAAAGCAAATTTTCATTTTAGCAACAAGGTGTGTTTGAGGGTGTTATAGCCTTTGAGTAGAATCTGCAAGATTATGAACAAAGAAAGACATAATATAACAGAGATTAGGGCTGCCTCGGTTAGTAGGTGTAATCAATTATGCTGACTTGGAAAATTCGTCAAGATCAAAATTTTTAACCAACATCTTTTTTGTATTTTTATAAAACTTTTGTCTTCTAAAATGCTTGAATTATTATCATTAAAACAACTGATTTCCTCAGTATCACTACATACTGTAGGTGGTTGCCAATGCCAATAAAATCCACAGAAGAAGAAGAAGATCACTTCGTAATTACTGTGTGCTTACGTCAGTCACTTTTGGCTCCAGTCATTGGTTGCTTCAGTCAACAATACAGTTTTACAGAATCATTGCAGCTTTTGTAGGAAAACGAGAAGTCGTTTGTACACTGTGCAAAGTTTTGTTATCATACCACAGTAGCACTAGGTCTGTGCACGAGCACCTGAAGAGAAAACACCCAAGTGCTGTTCTGGATACTAAAGATCCCGAAAAAAACAAAACCACTACTGTTACCTATTCATGTTTATTAAATTACAGTTAGTAGGGAGAACTTTTTAATATCCTTTCTCCTGCTGCTAAACTCATAATTAAAACCATAAAGTCACCTGTCTGCTACCTTAGAATGTCCACTGAATAAGTGTTAGAGAGAAAATGTTTAGGCTGGGCTTATTCTACAGTGATCAACAGTGCCTGTGTGTGTGTACTGTGTCCGTGCCTTCTTTTGTATAGTCTATGGTTCATGCTTGATGTTTGTTAAAGTAGTTTGGTAAAATAGCCGATAGATTTATTGATAGAAAGTTACTCATTAGTGCCAGCCTATAGAGATAAGGGTTTCTAAGAGGCAAAAGCCATGCACCTCAAAGTGAAAATTAAATTGAAAAAAACATTTTTAGATTATGTACTTTTTTAATGTTCTCTGATGGGTGTGAATATTTGGTACTGGTGATGTTGCCAGTGAAACATGAGAGGCGCAGTACCTGTGTGAAAAAGCACTAAAATAAATCTGTTATATAATTTTAATTCCAGGACTGAAGTTGTTACCTCTTTTGAATCATGGAGCAACAGTGTAAATGTTGAGTTTAGAGGTCTATTTTTTTATTGTGTGGGACCACAAATTGTCTTATTCAAAAAAGAGAGCTGGATCCCCTCCTTTCTAAAATGTGGGACAAACACAGCACACAGCAGTGGCTGGAGCTGTCAATAATTAAACAGGAGTTCAAATGATATAAACAAATCTAGTGAGCATAGTGTTACAGTAGGTAGCTGGGCTAACTCCCTTCCACTTCTTCTGAGGAATAACAGATTTTTTTGGACACTTTGGAACACAAGTTGTTATGGTGAAGTTGTACTAAGCACTGCTTGATGCCTCTAACAGTGGGAAGACTCATGGAGCGGTGCTGTTAAATGTGATCTATTTTCTTCTATTCTCTGTCAAAGAGCAACTGTATATGGGATTTGACTCACCACGGGTGTTGCTGGAGAGACGTTTGCGTTGGCTGGTGGAGGTGTTGTGTGGAAGCAGGGTGTTCTGCTGGTGGTTGCTGTCGATGGGACTCGTGGCAATGATGTTGTCCTTGTATTTGTTCATTAGGGCCAGCTTGGTGTTGTCACTCACTGTGGAGAAGTGGCATATAAATACAAGCACAGGGACATGAAAGCTCAGATTAATAGAAGCACAAACTGAAAGCTTTCCCTCTAAAATGAGATTGCAACCATTTGTGTAAAAAAAAAATAAAAACATGATCCTGGCTGGATGGTTTTAAAACCACAATGCAGCATAAACATAAAGTAATGCTAAGAAAACACATCATAATGTTGTTTACTTGGAGGAAAGTCAAATAGCCAAAATTAAAGCATGAGAAAAGCTGGCATGAAATTAAAACTCATTAAGGGGATATACAGAGAGCATTTCAGTGTCAAAGGATGAAATAATCTGTTTCATTAAGTGATGAAGTTCCACTGAAACAATTAAAAAAGAAAAGGCGGCTGACTAAAGAAACAAACAAGCAAACAAAAACATAAAAGAGAGAAAGAGAAGGAAAAGCCTCTGCTATATTTTGTGTTAATTATAAAATGTTAGCATGCTAACAACATAAATTTCTTTTTAGAATTTATCCAACTGTTTAGTTTCACTTTGCTCTGGTGGATTTTGTTGTTTGTGTTTACTTTTATGACTTTCACTTGTTTCACTTTAATGTAGTATCTTTATTTTATTTCAAACTGAATGTGCTGAACCATAGAGGGTGATGGACAAAAATGTCCAAAGGCTTATTCGAGACAGGGATTTTCTACATTTAAATGGGAGATTCAATGCAACAAAGCAGCTATACTACCAGTTATACTGCATGACTAACATATTGAACCCATGGAAAACAGGCAGCTAGTAATGACATATTATTATTATTTTACTTGCTCATGTGTTGGTAGCTATTCCTAGTGGATTAGTTTACAGTCTTTGTTATTTTAGTCTGGACACCAGTGCTATTTTTGAGTAACCTCTACAGTTGTTTAAACTGTTCAATATTTCATACATGGTCTGCTACCTGTATCATCTATTTCTCTAGCCCTTCAAATTAATCATTTTAAATGCGTAAGTATTCCTATGCTTCCATCACCTGTGGGGGTGAGGCAGGTTGGATTTCATAAAAACACCATAACGAATCTCTGGATAAATCAGTGAATCTGCTGCTAATTTAGAGAGGATACCTGTTTAAAAACTACTCCATACCTCATACAGCGATTCTCATGGGAATGGGATAATCAGTCAACACTCCAGTGTTGTCTTATTCAAAAAAGAGAGCTGGATCTCCAGTGTTGACTGATTATGAAAAATATGTTCTTTAAAACTAATTATTGGCAGGCATCTGAGTCTTTTATTCAAGTGTGAGGAATAAGCTCTTTGAAATAATACCTGCAGTGTTGATCTTTATATCTGTGCTGTCTGCACTGTCGAACAAATGAACAAGTGATTCACTGTTATTTTCTTCCCTCTTTTGAAAAAAAAAAACTGTTTTACAATGGCAAAGCATTCTCAGCCTTCATGTCTGTGAAACTCACACAGCCATAACCCTCTGTTACTGGTTGTACATCCACTCGGATGATTACTTTGCACCTGTATAAGAAACTAACACACATTAACTAAGATTTAGCACAAATATGGACAAATCAAGTAAAAAATTGTCTAGAAGTGGTTTCTCCCTGCTTCAGGGCCTGTTCATTTATTAAACATTAGTACAGTATGAATATTACAGGGAAAACATTCTTCTGTATAATCTACTTGTGTTACTGCTTTAGGTAGGAAAAAGGACCTATGTCCCTGCAATGCCACCAAAAACCGCAAGCCTCCTTGGTTATATATGCCATACGTGTAGATATTACAGCTGAGCTGCCTGACTGCCAAGTCTGTTTCTTACTGTAGTTGCAACATATGATGTAGTGTCACAGACAGAGCAGGAGGGACAGAGGTGGGGTTACCCCTGAGTTTGTTTTGATTCTCACCCACTCTCTAACAATCAAGAGTTTCAAGGCAAAAGTTAGAGGAGCTTTAAAATGTTTGATTTAAAAAATTGTTTTCTTTAGTTTTGTGCTGCTTAATTAAGTTATTGCAACTGTGTTAATGTAATTATACTGTTCCCTGCTTGGAAAATGATTTCTTATATTCTCAAAATTTTCCCAATACTGAAAAATGTAATCTTTTGACACAGGTGCCATCTTATTACTTTGTTTTTATTAAAAATTACACAGCTGAAGTGGAGAGGAACATATGGCTATAAATGAGATAAGTGCAAGCTTCAGCCACACTGTCTAGTTAGTCTGTCATTTTAAATTGCCAAAAGCTTTGTGGATACAGTAAAAGAAGCACTTCGCACCCCTTTGTATCCTAATGTACAAAATATGCATTGTATGCTGTAAGCGTATTAATTAAACAAGCCTTTTGCCTACAAAGTTCTCATCTATATTTTCTGTCAACATTCTGGATCTTAGACTGATAATATATATACTACCAGCCAAACTTTTAGACATACTTTCCCTTTCAATTCAAGTGAAAGTGTTACTGTTACTGTATTAACTGCATAGTGTATGTTAAAGTAGTAGACATCTTTTAAAGTAAACATTTTGGCCAAACTTCACATTTTACTGTCTTAAAATGTTGCTGTGGTGAACCATGTAACTGTTCTCTGTTTGTCTGCATCCAGAAGGCACTAGGTGGGTTTACAGTGCATCTACTGTAGCTGTTTTTTGCCAATTTTCAATTTGCTCATTTAAAAAAAAGAAAGAACAGAAAAAAATCTTCAAAGATTACCAAAAATAATCTGAAATGAAAAATTTGGCATATAAATATCTACAAAATGTGACAAAGTGTAATGGAAGTAGGCATGAATAAATCATGATGTACAGTACATGAAGAATATGGCTTCATTTTGTTCTGAAGCTTCAGCTCCACTGAAGGGATAAAAAAAAAATAGCAGCAGAAATATCAGATCTTTGTGCAGTGTGCACTATGGAAACTGTAAGGTTTATCAAATTAATACAAACAAACATACTGTAAATGCCATATTTACATTATTTTTCACAGGTTGAGCTGGTGCTCTTTTAATTACAATATCTTGATGTACCCTCTCTCCTGCAATAGTGTAATAGCACTGGACACTCAGTGCTACAAGCTGTTTATCTTGATGAACCAACTTGTAGATTATCTGCAATATACAGTACATTTTGATGGAAACCTAGCTACAGGGCAGCGTTAACATTCATTTGGAGTTTTATTTCTGGTACCTTACAGATGTAAACATTATGACCATGTGCAGCACATGCTAAGCTTATGGGAAATAAAATAACTAAACTTGTATGTAGCTTTAGCCATTAAATTAATTTAGAGACAAATACAGAGCACAACAAGCTGACATACACTAACTCTAACATACTGCTAGCAAACAGTTGCCTAATAGCACATCACAGAGCAACATTAGCATTTATTTAGCTGTGTTTGTGACCACCTGATGAATTTAAGTATAATGCTCACTCCCTGGTCTGGTCTGCAAGACCTCAGTAGAAAATTATCACTGCTTTCCCAGATAAAACTCTGATTATTTTTCACTAACTTTGTAAGCTTGCCACTTGGAAGGGCAAGAAGTATAAAGTGGATTCATCTGAGCTGTTTTATGCTGAGTACAGCTACTTACTGCTGGAAATTAGGTTATAAAGTGGTGAGAATGAACCACACATTAAATGCTCCATATAACTAAATTCTAAAAGAGGTTGCTGCTTTCCTTGCGGCCTGTTCATGGTTCCCATTTGTTCCTATGGTTCCCGTGGTTGCTCCATTCTGTAGTCGGTATCCGTAACCATTCTTGGTGATAATGTGGCTGAGGGGGTTCAGCCCTATGTAGAACAGCAGTGGGGACAAAGCATCTCATTGGTAAACACCACACTTGATGTTGACTTGTGAAATTGGCTTGAAGTTGGCCTTTAGGGTTGTTTTCTACATTCTCACTGAGTTCTTGATGAAAGGTCTTATAGTCCTGTTGACATTGTACATTTTAAAGGATTCCAGGATCCACTGACATCAAGGCAAGGAAGCTCCTTACAATGCATGGCGGGTTTCACCCCAAGTCCAGCATCCTACGACTGTACACTAAGCAGAAGGAAGGAGGCCGAGGATTAGTGAGCATCAGAGCCACTATCCAGGATGAAACAAAAAAGATCCATGAATACATCAGGGTGATGCGCCCTTAGTGAATACCTCAGGCAGCAAAAACCAGAGGAACAAGGGAAGGAAGACTAATCCTGGCAGCACAGGAACAGGCTCTAAGTACAAGATCAATAGAGGCAGGGTCTACCATACCAGACAGGACCCCAGGTGCAGGTTGTGCAAAGATGCCCCTGAGACAATCCAGCACATAACAGCAGGGTGCAAGATGCTACCAGGCAGGGCATACATGGAATGCCATGACCAAGTGGCTGGCATAGTGTACAGAAACATCTGTGCCGAGTACAGGCTGGAAGTCCCAAAGTCAAAATGGGATACACCTCCAAAGGTGGTTGAGAATGACCAAGATAAGATCCTGTGGGACAAACTGGTAATGGCCAACCAACCAGACATAGTAGTGATGGACAAACAGAGGAAGAAGGCCGTAGTGATAGATGTAGCAACCCCAAGCGATAGCAACATCAGGAAGAATCAGAATCAGCTTTATTGGCCAGATGTGATGGAAACACAAGGAATTCGACTCGGGGACATCGGCCTCTGGTAGAGGACCTGAGCTTCACAGAAGAATAAGACTGCTCCAAAGTTGGGATTTATTTATTTTTTTAATGTGTGTGTGCATGTTTTATATAGGGTTTTTTTTTTTTTGTCTTTTCTGACCTGAGTGCTTGTGCATCAGTCAACTTACCAGGTGTGAGGTCCATATTATTCTTGTCATTACAACCCTGGAGGGAGTCCAGGGTACGAGTGACTTGGCTGGCAAATTCCTCTCCACCATTCATACACTCTCGCTGCAGATGGTGCCGGAGGTCAGTAATGTCATACTCATATCTGGAGATGAAGTAGATATGAATTACCAGTACATTATCTTGATTTGTCTAAATTAGAATACATATCAATAATGTGCTTGGTGGAGCAGTCAAAGTTTTACTGTATCAAAATGTATGTATAAGGAGTTTTATAGGCTTATGCTTAAAAAGTCATTGGAGACTACTACTTTATAGAAGGAAACAATTCCTTCATTCTGGATATTGAATTTCAAACTATTCTATCCCCTTGTTGCCAGTGCAAAATGTTGAATAGCAAACCACAGCTACTTATAATTCATCACAGCACAAGTTGGTTGTTTTCAGCTGCTTTGGGTTATTTTCAGGTCACATTCATCTCCCAACCACCAAAACCCTGCTTGTACCCATCAAGAATCGGTGTCTCCCGGATGCTGAGGGTGCCGCTGGAGTTTGGCCCCTGACCCCGGGAGTTCCTCAAGCTCTCCCGGGCCTGGCCTCCCATTAGCACTGAGGGGATGTAGTGGATCTCATTAGCAGCCTCAGCACTGGCACTCTTCTGGGGCTGAGGGATGCGACGACGTTTACACCAGCGCCTGCGGGTGTAGAGGATCAGGACGAGGCACAGGATGGACAGCAGAAGGGCAATCATCCCGCCCTGTAGGGAGGAGGGTGGTATTTGGAGCAGAGACAGGGGTGAGGAAAAAATAGCAGAGAGAGAGGGAGGAAGAAGAGTCAGCGAATCCTGCCAAGTAGAATACAGATCAAAGTCAAAGTTATGATGCCAACAGTGCAATTTGAAAAAGGTTGCAGATGCAATATAGTGAATAACACCTACAGTCTTTTTAAATGACAGTAGCTCCAATGCTACTGTGCAACCATTTCACCTTGAAACAAAGTACAGGATCCCAGCTCTTAACTGATATTTAGTAATTTAAGACCATGTGGAATGTGTTCAAGGGCCAGCAGCTACAGCAGCTGCATAAATCCTGTGTAGCTCATCACTTCTGTGATTTGGTCCCTTTATACTAATTGCATCCCCCCTGAAACTACTGAGATCAAAGCCTAAGCCTTTAAAGCAATAGTTCCCATACTGTTTTACAGAAACAGTTTGACAGTTCACTTATTTCCTTTCTTACACTGACATCACACTTCTGTCTGTATGATAACTACTATATGCTGCTACAGTCAGCAGCTGTTGGCTTAGCCTAACGCAGAGTGAAAACAGAAAGAAACAGCCTAAACCTGATGCATGCAGACACAGGTGTCCTATTACCAGTCTTAGCTGTGGTATAACTGCATATTTAACATGGTGACTTTGATATTTGCTTATTTGTTCTGTTTGTATACATTCCTGTAAAGTAACTGTAAATGCTGCCTGATTTTGCAAGAATTTGATCCATACATAGTGTAAACTAAAAATTCTAGTTCTAGTTTTATGGGGGGTTATATGCTAAGCTTTTTAATCCATGACCACCGTAACTTCCTGGACTGGATGCTGGTTGCCTGGCAACCTAATAGTGATTTGATGCATAGAGAGCTAAAAAATAACTCAATCCACAGGTCTGACCCCACTGACATTTTACAGTTCTTTGTCTTAGTGTTTTTCATGCATTACAGGGATGACAACACCAGCTCACACACATAAGATACTGGGAACACCTGTTTCCAAAGTCAGATAACAACATGATAATGAACTGTGTTAGTTATTAGTTATATATACTTTATGCAATGCAATTTTCCCAGATTGGGATTAATAAAGTATTTCTATCTATCTATCTATCTATCTATCTATTGTCTCCTTTGGGATAAATTCAGAGTAGGCTACACATTACTGCAACAAGTGCCACTGATACAGTGCTCAGTGCTTGTACAATAAAATACATTCAAAAATAGTAAAAACCCTTATTAAAAACAAATATTTGTAGTAATCAATAACCGATAGTAATGCACATATACCTCAACAGGATTGCACAGCCACAGGTACAAAACCATTTTGCAAAAAGTCCAAAGGTCCAAGAATTTGAAAGACCACCCCTTTCAGTTTGAACCCAACAGGTTGCCCTACAAAAAGACCAAGTACTCACGTCATACTATTAAGAAGTGATGTTGGCATAAATTAGTTCTTAAACCTATACATTTTACACCATAGGATTCTGTAGCATTTTCCAGAAGGTAATAATTCATATTCTGAATAGAGATTGTGAGACGGGTCACAAAGAATCCTCTTTTTCTGCTTCAGTACACACTGTTCATAAATATGCTGGGGGTTATAGTCATTTTTCTTACCAATCATTTTAAGAGCAGTTTGTGATTATTGTTTTGATTTTAGTTTTACCAAAAGGTTACCAAACCCAGCTGTAATTCCATATCTGATTATTCTCCCCAGAAAGGCCCGATAAAACAAAAGCATGATTTGATTTTAGTCGACACCATAATACCTTAGTCTGCATAAGAAATATAGTCTTTGGTGACATCGAGGACAAAACCTATCAATTTATGTGTCTCAGGTCATGGTACTGTTAACATGAACACCTAGATACTTCTAGGACTAAACCTGTGAAAGTGGCTGGTCATGAATTACTGTGGTCACCAACTGCCTTAGAATCAAAAACCATTTCCTTTTGTGATTTTTTTACATTTAAAATCACAAAACCTCCAAATCTGTCAATAAAACCACAGGCTATATACTGTAGCATTCATTTCCAGATTTTATTTCTTTTGGCTGGTTTATGTTAACTCAGCCTTCCTATAAACTCTACTCACAAATATTTGCAATACGGTTTCTCAGTTCAATAAAGTGCTTGCACCACTATGACAACCAGCATGCCATACTGTAACTGCATATTTAACATGGTTTTTGATATGCTGATTTTGATGTTTAGTGCTTATTTCTTTTGTTTTTATAAATTTGAAAATATAAATATAAAAATTAGGCTCCTGTAAAAGTTGCCTGAATTATTATTTAATAAAATATAATTAAAATATATTTTTAAAAAGACCAAATATTTAACCACATTATCCAAACTTTTGTTTTAGTAAAATAAAACTCAAAGTGAGTGTAATGTCATCACAGGCCTAAGTGTGAAAAAAAAAATCATAAGGAAAACAGCTCGTCACAGCCTGTGCAAATACTGAAGATACTGAAATACTAGTCGACTGTGATTTTAAATATCAGCTCATACATGTCCAGAAAGCACTGATACCAGATGACTGGATCAGGTCACATGGCCACTTTCATTTTACTAATTTTCTCCCTGATTTTAATGAGTTATGAGGGCTTTGGTTTTGAGGGATGGAGCAGCATCCATACCAGCACCTGCGGGTGTAGAGGACTGGGCGCAGGCACAAGATGGACAGATGAAGGACACTGAGCCTGCCCTGAGGACAGGTTAGCAGGGGGGAAAGAGACAGAATCAGACAGAAAGCAGAGGGGAAACAGAGACAGTGAGAGAGAGAGAAAGGAAAAGAGAGCACAAAAAGCAAAGGCATAGTCTGAGACTTTTGCCAAGAAGGAGAATATGGATCAAAGTCGAGGCAAGTCAAAAGCACACATCCCGCAGAAACACAGGAGAGACAGTGATTGTCAGTTTCAGTATCAGACCACATCTCCTTCATGAATAAAAGCAATGAGAGCACTGGGTAGCTTGATTTTATTCATTTCTATTTTAATTCTATTGCTATTTGTATGGTTTCCAAGAGGGGCAGGAAACATGAAATAACATGCAGCCATGAGTAATTTGGCTGCGAACACATAATGATGCATGCACAGCACAGTATGTACAATTTGCCACATCCTCATGCCAAATCTAATACCCAGCTGTGCACTGAAATCAAAATCTGATTCTTTGTGCAATTTGTAAAATATGAACATGTCAAAGTAACAGCACAGAGATGGAAAGACATCAGCAATTTGCACTGGAGACAAATTTAAAAAAATGTTAGACAATTACAAGCACATTTAAAATGACATCATAAGAACCATGTTCTCCCTCTAACCAGATGTATACAGATGTTTCTGGCTGTACTACACTTCACCTGACGCAGTGATCCATAATTTCATTTTTGTTTTATTAATGTCATTATAAATATTCTTAAAACAAAGTTAGTCACATGGAGTTAAGCAGTAGTCCGAACAAACAGTATAATAACAAAGATGATGTCAGAATGTATTTAAAAGAATGACAGAAAAACATTATTTCGAATTAAGCTATGTCAGTTCAGCCAAACAACTAGAGTTACAGAAAGATAAGCAACAATGATGGAAATGAAAGATTGATTTTAATCAGTAATTTACATAAAGTCACTTTTCAAACATATTAGGAGTTCTGAGGATGAATAAAAATAGGGGTTCCAGTGGCTTATTTTAAATTAATTTTAAATTAGGAAAAGTGAGGGTCTATTAGCACAAGTTGTTTACTTAATTGTCAAGGACATTAACAAATGACACCATGATATGGGCCACTTATGCAGAAAATCTGCAGGCACAGTGGTCAGAATGGAGACCAGAGTATTTTGGTTGTAGTGATTAAATTTTCAGCACTTTGAAAGTCACTTTTGAAGTCTCCTGTTCACACTCGCATACTGCACTGAAGATCGCTGGATGTGTAATAAATGCAACAGTATATTAACAGTATGCATTTGTATGGTCTTCAATCATCTCCTAAGATGGAATAAAACTAATTTAAGCTGTGCTTAAGGTGTTAAGATATATGAAAAGGTATTTAATCCTTAAATCTGAATTGATATTTTTGTATTAACAATGGCTGAAATGACTGTATATAATGTAGAACATGTTCACATGTACAAACAAACATGCAGAATATTCACCAAAACTCTGCAGTTTCCCTCAGCTTTAAGTGTTTTTGTGTCTCTGAACTTATTGTTGTTGTATTTGCTTAACCGGTCCCATCAAGCTCGATTCTGCTGCAACAGCCAGGTTTATTTCAGGGAAAAGGCTCTAATAAAGCCACGATATTCTCTCCACCTAGTGTTTTAGCCACAGGTCACCCCGGCCCCTTTTGGTCTGTTTATATGTTTGCCAGTGTATGTGCCTGCAGGAAGGTGCTGCTGATCATGTGGGTGCTGTGGAGAGAGGACGTTGTCAGTGGGGCTGATTGGCAGATATCATCTAGAGGTCGGGTCTTTTGAAGCGCTTCCCCAACCGCTGACCAGTCTCTCCCTGAGTGACGTGCACTGCACTCCAGTTGGCTGTTAGCCCCACCTGATGAGCTCTATCTCCTCCAATCTCAGTCTTACAATGGGAACGAGTGCAGTTTAAAAGCTCCAGGATGCCAATTAAACATCGGGCTTGTAGCATTAGCAGCCCCACCTTTTGTTTATCTTTGTTTTGTAGTGATACTTGATTAAATTCTGTGACTTTTGGATTTCTGTTTCTTATGGTTACATTATTGTTTAAGCTTTAGTTAGCATGCAAATCAGTGGGGGTTTGTACTTCTCAGCAGCTTTGCAGGAATTAACCCTAGCCAACAGTCTTGGGGTCGCAGTTAAGAGACTGAATCACAGTACTACCTGTGTGTCTAAATGTCTACTGTATCTGTATTGATTAAAAACGAGACAGACGACAGAAACAGGGTGTGTTCAAACTCAGATCTCTTTGCTCACTAAGTTAATGCATAACTTTTTAATATATAATAC